AGGGTTGTCATATTCCAATTCTCCAAACCCAAGTACCCCATAAACCTGCTTATGAATATGCAAAGTAGACAATCCCATTTTTATAACATGCAAATGTACACACTACAAAAATTATTTTAGTTTTCATATTATTAATTATGTGAATTAAACAAATTAATTGTTACATTAATTGTTCTTCCAAAAACATGTTTCAACCTTGGGGTCATCACTGAACTAAGATTGCGACCACAGTGTAATTGCTGGAGTGCTGGAAAAGGAGAATCCAAGTTCAAATCCCTGCTCAGTCACAAAGCTTATTTGGTAGCCTTGTACTAGTCAGAACTTCTCAGTCATGTGCATCTAACAGCATTGTGTTTTTGGAATACAGTGGGGAGAGAGGAATCATGTCAATCAGTTACATACCGTATTTTTCGCTCCATAAGGGAGGAATCATGTCAATCAGTTACATACCATATTTTTCGCTCCATAAGATGCACCTTTCCATAAGACATACCAATTTTTTAGGAAAACAGGAAAATATAATCTGCTTGCTTCGCTCCATAAGACGCAAAGACCTTCCACCCCTGTTTTGTGGGGGGAAAGTGCGTCTTATGATGCGAAAAATACGGTACATTCTTGCTGCTGATACAGAAAGAAATAATGATAATTTGCCACACAGGAGCTTCAGGAGAGATTTTCATGAGCTGGCTGGATTTTTTACTCTCAGATTCTATTGAGGGGAGAAAACCATGAGATCCATGAGAATAACACAGGAATCCAGTACTAATGACACAGTATTAATAACATTTGGAGGGGAAAATCAGGGGAATGCGAGGGCAAACTGCAGAAACCAAGGTTTTATTTTCTTTGGAGATGCAGATTAAATGTTCTATTATAAGTAGAAAATATCCTAGCTTAGCTTTCTCTTCCATATTTGTTTTTCCCCTAAAGAGAGCAAGAGAGAGAACGCACATGCCAATCCAGTGTGCTACCTCCTCCTCACTCCCCATCAGCTGCTGTTTTGCTTCATTATAATGGGCCTTATTGTACAGGGAATGAAAATAATAACGGCCTTTGAGATTTTACTTTTGGGCAACACTATACAGAATGCCTAAACCAGAATAGTCACTGACCATGCTGGCTGCAGGATTCTGGGTGCTGAAGACCAACAAACAAATTAGATCAGTCTCAGATTCTTAATAAGTACAAATATGTTAATTTTCTATGCACATTTACTAAGATGTAAATACCATTTAATTTAGTAAAATATGTATCCAAATAAGTAGTTTAAAGAGCCAGACAAAGACGAAGACATGTAGAATTAGTTATTTGGAAACAACATTGTCATTTCTGTGTCACCATTTAAAACCTCTTTCCAGAACCATGATGCTCAACGACAACAAGCAGAAGCTTCTAAAAATGTATTCTCTACTTCCTTTTCTTCTTCTCTTTTATTTACGCTAACTCTTCCTTTTGTGATGACTGCACCTAGCTAAGTTAAGAGTTTCTCCAAAAATAAGGCAGGGTCTTATATTAATTTTTGCTCCAAAAAGCATTAGGGTTTTTTTCCAGGGGATGTTTTATTTTACAGTCATGTCATCTTCTGGTTGCTGCATAATGCTGTACAATGGTGGAGGGGCAGGGTTTCACTTAACTGGGGCTTATTTTTGGGGTGGGGCTTATTTTTGGGGTAGGTCTTATATTGCGACCATCCTGAAAAACCATACTAGGGTTTATTTTCATGTTACATCTTATTTTCGGGGAAACAGGGTATGTAAGATAAAAGGGACCTTGATGTTTCTAAAGACCACTACAATCATAGGTGCATAAAACTGCAGTGCTGGAAAGTACTTCAGGGATCATTAAATCTAACCCTTGGCTAGAAATGCAAGAAAATGCGTAATATCAGACCCTTAAAGGTTTTACCTTTGGAGTACAGCTCCCATAATCCCTCAAGCCCATGTTTACTGCTATGACTTCACTGTTTTCTATGTACTGTTTGAGACTGTTCTGTAAACAGTTTTCAGCTGTTTGTAAACCAGCTAGGGACCATCTATTCCCACAACAGCAACATTTACCCAGAGTCTCTGATTTATACATTTACAAGATTGTATGAAATAGCGGACGGCTCACTAACTGGCTAATTACACAATTGCACTAATTGTTTTTGTATTGTTTTTCTTTTGCAAAACAACCATGTGACAAAATTTTCAGTTTTAAAGTTCTGGCTCTGGCTCTACAAAGGAATGTAGGAATTGGCATGCAACAATAAATATTACAAAGCAAAAATACACATGAAAAAAGAAGGCACAAGAGGGCGATAACGCATGCAGAGACATGTTAAGAACAAAAAATAAGCCCTGGCCACTGTAGTAATCAATTCTGCTATTCATCAGAGTTTCAAGGGACTGTTCCATAGTTTGCAACAGAGGGGACCTCTATTCCACCCACACTAATGAATTATATGGAAATGGAAATGAACAAATGCTGCTACTCCCAGACTGACTTACTTTTTTCCTAGTGAAAACTCTGAATCTAGGGCAGCTGATGGGCCAAATGGTCATCTCATGGAATGTCTAAAATCTAGTTGAGATCCAGCCAGCTAGCTCACCTTATACTCAGGACCATGAATCATCATAATCGTCTTAGATGAAGTGGTGCCTAAGAGTCACAGCTTCCATTCTCAAGAAGAGTTGAAGTTGCTAGAACTCATGAAAAATAGCTGAAACCCAGCAGCACAACTTACCCCACATAAGCCAAATGACATTATCAGCCACAGCAGTTTTCCATAAATCAAAAATGTCCAAATCCTCCTGAAGGTTCTGATGCTCTTTTGGGAGCCTTCTCTCATAGCAAAGTTGCTTGGGGCCACCAAACAGGGTAGCGGTGGCTTTAATTTCTAAAAACTGCCACCAGTGACAAAATCACTTCAAATGGCATTTTTTGAAGATTAAGACTCCCCCTGTCTCACAGCCCCCAATATCTTGCCCATAACAAAAGGGAAGCCTTGAGACGTTTCGGGGGCAGGAATCAGATTTTTTTTTAAATTTACAAAGAAAGAAAGAAAAACACTGCAGCTGATGAAGTCATCAGCCTTATGAGTTCTGCTCCTGGATTTCAGCTAGAGAAAGCTAAAACTATATGATATGTATCTCTGTTTTAAATTTAGACAAAAGTGTGACTTACATCCAGAAATCTGGAAAACAGTACATACTATTGAGGACATTTGTAATGGGCACCCTCAATTGCAGAAAATGCCCAAGCAGCTTAAGCCATTAGTTAGCAACTGTGAGAAGAGGAAGCAAAATCTAATCACATGCTTCACACTGCTATTATTTCATATTTTTAAACACCATGCACAGCTATTCTTGACCTAGTGTTCAATATGCCATCTGGCTACCTCCTAATCCTTACTATTATCATAGGGCAAAAATTTTTTAAAGTATGTCAAATTACATCATAAAACGATAATCCAGTGAGTCAACTCTTCATAAAAGCATATGAACCTGAAAATAAATTTTAAACAACATAGAATATAGGTAGATCATATTCTTCAGTCTTTATATTTTCATATTGTACTGGTTTCATTTTTTAAGCTGGAAATATTCTATTTACCAAAATATATATCTAACACTGAACAGATTGGGAGAGTTTAATATCCGTTATTTAGACAAGCAGCTTTTGAACAATAGCCAATAATACTAAGACAAAAGGGAGAGGGGATAATTATACCGACATTTAATTTTAATTTTAATTAAAATATAGTACTAAGATCCAAATCTAAGTTAATTATGAAATCTATGTTGTACTCTTCTGTTGCAGTTTGTCATCTGAGAGTAAGATGAATTTTAAAATGCATTTTTTAAAATTCAAGGTCAGTATTTCCCAAACTTTTTTTAGTCATGGCTCCCTTTTATAATAGCCAATACCATGTTTTTAAAATTCTGTTAAAGGCGCATATATTGTGTTGGGTGGTTTGGGGACTGATTTGTTTTTGCAAGGGACAGGGAGTGGACTGCTTTCTTGCCTTTTTTCCTCCTACTGTACTCTCCAGGCCCAGACAGTCTCTCCCTGTTGTGTTTGTGTTTCTCTGGGGTGTGTGTGTGTGGCATTAACATCGAACTCTTGCTGTCATTTTATCTTTTCTAATTTTTGGATGATTTACTGCTTTTTGAACTGCGTGGTAGGTGAGTGAGGTTTTCTTTATGCATAGGATCTGGAAGGAAATCTTAGCTCAAACAGCATCTTTGTGTCATCTATGGTGATTCTTGGCACTGAATATGAGCACTGTCAGAGGCTTTATCTTCCTTTCCATTGTAGTGTGGAATGATTAACATACTAAGGTAGTTGAGCAAAAGAACATGTTAAGTTCCTTGTTTTACCCTAGAACCACTATAGTTCTTACACAAGATACAGTATAGGATAAGGTTCCTCATCTGTAGAACTACCAGGAGGCATCAAGCATTAGCTTCAAAGTGTCACAAAAGGTTTTGCCTTCTTCCTGTCTCAGATTTAGATGGCCACTAAATGGAACATCTTCTCCTATTCACACTTGCACCAATAAATTTAATACTAAAATCACAAAATGTCTCTTTCATTAACAAGATACATCTGTATGCTGCAAAACTAACAGCAATAAAAACTAGTTTACTCACTCTAGAATGGCTTCTAAAAGCAAAAAAGCAGTAATAGATTTCCATGCAGAAGTCAATGCACATTTTATATATGGATCTACTTTACCCCAGAACTCATCTCATTTATTAAAAGAAGCAGCACATTAACTTATTCTATTAATGTTACGATTAACAGTTCTTTTAATGACCTGTTCAGCTGGATGGCAAACAGATCCAGCGGACCAAATTAAAATGACATATCTCTTCCCAAATTGGTTTATGTTTCCAGCTCAGTTTCCTACACACATGTTGCCATTCACATCTTTCTTAATCCATGTCATCCTACAGTAGTAACAATAATAAGGTCTTTTTCTCCCAATCCCCTCCAACTTTTTGCAGATATCTCACCTCCAGCTCTTGTTCCCTCTGTAGGGCAAACTGTTTGAAAGATTTGACAATAAGACCAGCATTTGAGCAGTCATACACGAAAATGGAGGGACTGCCCATCCATGTCTGCAGATCATATATGGATAAAGGGATGTACTGGGTGTAGTTCTGCAAAAGAAAAGAAAACATGGAATGCATTACATAAGGAAAAACATCTAGAGATTAGAGATGGGGGTATTCACATGTGAATATCCCCCACAGGTGCAAATAACGAGGGTCCAGCCCCATGGGGCCAGACTGTCCACTTACCAGTTCGCTGCTGACCAACCCCAAGCTGCCCCATTGTGTTTTCAGAGGGAGGATAACCCCATCAAGACAGGTTGAATTCCTATTCCTTCATCTGCCTAATCCAGATAAGACACCTCTGTCTTTTCTTGATTAAGTTTCAGTTTATTCAGCTTCATCCAAGTCCATTACTGACCCCAGACACTGACCTAGAGCTGATACAGCTTCCCCAGATTTAGATGGAAAGGAGAGACAGAGTTGAGTGTTCTCCACATACTGGTAACACCAAATCCAAAAACTCTGGACAACCTTTCCCAGTGGTTTCATATAGATGGTTAGCTAGAATATGGGACAAAACAGAACCCTGAGGAACACCACAGGCCAGGAACGCCAGGGTGTCGAACAGGAGTCCTTCAGCACCACCCTCTTGAGTTCTCCCCTCCACAAAGGACTGGAACCACTGTAAAATAATGCCTTCAAATCCCATCCCAAATAGACAGCCCAGAAGGACACCATGGTCAATAGTATCAAAAGCTGCTAAGAGGTCTAGCAGAAACAAGAGGGAGACACTCCTCTGTCCAGTTCCTGTCATAAGTCAATAGTTTCCTAGCTAAAACCAGGCCTGAAGCCAGACTGAAATGGATCTAGATAATGCAATTCACCTTGGACTGTGTACTGCCAAATATTCCTGTGTAGTTCTCTGAGCAAAAATGCACACATTAAAATCTGTACATTAGGGGAAATTACACAGAAAAGGGGGGGACATAATTTTGGTGCTGACTTTTAAAGAAAAACATTTTATGAACTGTTGTAGAAGTAGTGCAGAATGAACTTGTGTCTGAAAATATGTAAACATTACAGAAACTGAAACAAGACTGATTCTATACTTTTGTCTCAAGGTCCACACAGATTTTATTATTCACTGAAAGTTATCCATGAGTTTACCAGTATACATTTGTTCAAATTTACTTGAAAGTGTGCTAATACAATTCTTAACAATATGTTTCCCCGAAAATAAGACAGGGTCTTATATTAATTTTTGCTCCAAAAACGCATTAGGGCTTATCTTCAGGGGATTTTTTTTTCATGTACAGCAATCTACATTTATTTAAATACAGTCACGTCATCTTCTTATAGTTGCTGCACCATGGTGGAGGGTGGCCTTTCACTTAACTGGGCCTTATTTTTTGGGTAGGGTTTATATTACGAGCATCCTGAAAGATCATACTAGGGCTTATTTTCAGGTTATGTCTTATTTTCAGGGAAACAGGATATGACTACATGTACTTATGATATTTGTAAATAAAACTCATGGTCACAAAACCCAATTATGTTCAGGCTGTAAGTTTAGGTAAAACAGTGAGCTCTATAATCATCATCATCATCATCATCATGTCAGGGCTTCGCCGCCTAACAATTACATCAATGTAACCACAAAAGATTACTAGAATAATTATTTAAAATGTCTCTCAAACTTTTGTGCAGAAGATATATCTGGCTTATTGTACGTTACACAAGTGATGGTTAGGTTTCTCTTCAAAACGTAACACAAGAACAGATCATAGCCTTGGGCAACTGAAGGGAAAATCACCCAAGAAACCTCTGATGTGATTATTACATCTCTTCCAAAGTTGCTTAAAATGATAATAAAACCAAACTCTTTAATAAAACAGAGACCAAGTTTCCATTCTTTAGGTGGTGGAAAAATACATGTCTGCTTGGCATCAGTCTAAATCTATGCTTGCAGATACAACAGGACTTCCTTGCTTTTCCTTTCTTTGCATACAGGCTTCAAAAGTTTCCCTCCAGTGCAGTTACTGAGGATGTAGGACTGCAAAGGGAAGATGGAATTCTCTTTCTATCTGCAGAACAACTTTGCTGAAGCTCATTCTTCAATCAGAAATATCTGTGCAACTGTGTCACTACAGAACATTTGTCTGCTTTCTGAGTGAAGAAAGAGGAACAAAAAGAGCAACCAGGGAAAAAAGAGAACTTTTTCACACTATTAAGTGCTGCTGCTTTCAGCGCAGTGCATCAGTTTATTTGAAATATGAGCCACTGACACTCACATGAACTGCTGCAAAAGAGGAACAATTCTGAGGATTCTTGAATTCCTCCCTTTCTTCTGCTTGAGCATTTGCCATTTAATGGAAATTTAAGAAATACAGGAAACAATGGGAAGGGAGAGAATGACCAGGCTTTGTTTCCATGAGGTCCATTAGCATCTCACTAGCTGTCCCCTTTTGTTTGTCCAGCTGTGAAGTAAAATTAAAGCACTGCAAATCTTCAAAGGAAAGGCAAATCGGTTTCTATATACTGATGCAGAATATTAGGCTAGTGTAGTAGCTATGACTTGAGGATCATACCAATAAGTGTTTCCTAACCCCTTTTGAGATATTTATACATACATTCTTAATGCTCCTAAAAGTACCCTGAAAGTATGGAACAAAAAAAAAAGTCAGCATTCCTTGGAGAGAATGAGCACCTTTTAATTCATCTCAAACCCAAAGCAAGGAATCTCAGAACAAGGGGAGGAACACACTGAAAGTGAACTGCTTCACTTTCTCATGCTAACAATACAGAGAAAAACCAGGTTTTCATCCCAATAAGTGAAGAGATACATTGCAGATTATTTATTTATTAAGATCTGCTTTATCTGTCAGGCTAGATTAAACATCAAAGAACTCTGCTTGCTTCATAAGGCAGTACTGAAATATTAAGCTAGCCACAAAGGCATTTATACCACAAACATGTACATGACAAGAATAATGAAAAATTAAAGTGGTGATGGGGGAATGCATGGAGGAAAATAGTGGAGAAGCAAGGGGGAGGTTTAGGTGCATCCATGTTATACATCAGCACATAAACATGATTCACACAGTTTCAAAAACTGGACAATTTTAATGATTAGCTTTAATGATTAGTGTCTCATTCAAATTGTGCCACATAGCCTGGTTTACTTGGATATCTGTGGAAACCCAGCTCAGCCTGGTTAAACAAAGCAACTGAGATTGAGTTTTTGGCTGAAAGAAATCAGACTGAAATAATACTTCCTGAAGGGTTTATCCTTTTTAATCTACGTATCAGAATATATTATGCTTAATCTCTCACAAATATAGCATAACCAGAAAATGATGGGTGCTTAGTTTTGCACAGACCCTCTGAAAACTCACAAGTCTTCTACTGAAGGGCAAAATACCATTTGCATAGTTTCTGATCAGAAACACTGCGATTCTGCAGCTGAAAAGATCACTACTACAGTCCTACTCCCATCAAGAGCATCTTGGGGAGATCCTGTTGTATGTCATGTCAGTTGCAAGCAACTGCTCAGCTGCTGGATTTAGGTTTGCTAACCAACAGAGCTTCTGGGATATATTTACTTTTCCAGAATTACTAGTTGTCTCAGAACAACATGGGCATTTACTTTGTTCTTAAAACCTCAAAATTCCAGTGATGCAGAACATTAGTTGTATGGGAGTGCACAACAAAAGCAATTTAAGCGAATTTCAGCAATGCCTGAATAGATATTATTTGCTATCATCTGTGAATATTTATGAGGCCTAAGTTCTTGTGGGCTGAAGTGCAGTTCATAATGATGAAGTAAGCTTCAGTTCACAAATGTTCAGGCCATGATAAATGTGTCCTGAAGGTGCAAAATGCACTTCAAGGTTTTGCTGCAGCAGATGAAAACAGCTGCCTTTCTAGAGGGGTAGCTTTTCTAATCCACAGTTCATTCTAGCAAAGCCAACAAAGCTTTCGCGAATACATCCAACAAAAAAATCTTAATGCATCTTACAAACTAACAGATTTTATTTGGCATAAGCATTCACAGACTGGAGTCCTGCTCTTCAGATGCCACTGAGTAAAGTGCCACTGAGAATCAGTCGGTGCAATGGCTCTGTTTTTGACCTGCTCTTCCCTCATGTCTAGGTTAGTCAGGCATCCTTCAGTCTCAAGAGACTATGGTAACATGCTCTGTATGGAGGACTTGGAACAGCGTCTAGTGTGGCTGAGGAGACCAATTCGAGAGTGGCCTCTAGGTTACTTAGAAAGTTGGTACAGGGTGCTGAAACAAACAAAGAAGAAACTGGAATTTTAAATTTGACATAAGAAAATGCCATACTTAAAGCCAGTCAGGATGTGTTAGCAAATCATGGATTCTAATTTGATTTTGAATTTCTTAAAAAATAAACAATGACTGTAATCCTATTAACTTTTTGCTGTGCAAATGGGATGATGTCATCAGCCCAAAATGGTAACATTTAATTTAATTTAAAGTCTTCTATTCCGCCGCCCCCTCAGGTTCCCAGACTTTCTAAAGACCCCTTTTGACCTCGAGAAGCTTTTAAGAGCTTCAGGATAGGGGGAAGCTATTAATAGCCAAAAGGTGCCACAGCCAGTCCACTGCCAGGATCAGGACCGTCACTTCCATTCCTGCAGTGATTCTCTTGCATTTGGAAACTCACATCAACAGAATTTCAGATTTGTTACCCAGGAAGATTTAAACTTTTAAGCAAACCACAATCAGGTGGAAAATTTGGAAATGTAACCTCTATAAGTTTATATTTGTTCTTTTAAATGAAAATAAGTTTACAGTTGGGCCTAATTTTTTCCTGCTTCATTTTCTGCCTTTTGTTGTTGACAGAACCTTCCCACACACACATACTTGTCTTTTCAAGAGCCAAAGCTAGTGTAAAACAACTATCAGATTTCACACCTATGCAAATACACTCCTTCTTTACAAACTGGAGGACAGACCTATAAAACATCTCCTAGTACTGTAATAGAAAACAGAGTCCTAATCAGATTACCTCATCTGATAAGGGAAAGTAGCTGGCGAATGTACAGTAAGTTTTTAATAATGCAGCCATTATCCTTATATAGATTTTATTGGCTGAAAACTGAAAGGTGGAAGGCAAACACCTGCATAGCAAAGCAACATTCATTCACTTCTAGATGACAATTAACAACTCCCTGCAGAGATTCTCAAGCACTTGCAAAGTCAGAAAGCACATGCACCTGAGAATCACAGTAGTGACTTGCTAACTGCTGCCTAGAAGTGAGTGAATGTTATGTCATTTGCCTTCTGTCTGCACAACAAAGCAACAGGATTTCAGCCATAGAATGTATTCCTCTCACTCCAGCAGTGTTATTTCTGTCTCATTTATTATTTGCAATCTGTCGTTTTCGAGTGATTTGATGGATGCTAAGAGATTCCTGAACCACAGCAAAGGAAACTGCTCTATACCTGAAATGTGTTTTAGGACTATTGCTGCCAACATTCCACACAGAAAATACTAAGAGCTAGTTAACCATAACATTTTTTAGGGTACCCTGGAACTGCGCAGCTTGCCCATGGCAACACAGATTGGCTTTTATCCCAGGGGCAGAGTGGAAAACCAAACTCCCAAACTCTGTCTTTGCAGCCAGATTCCTAAACCACTGAGCTATTCCACTTAGGACATCCAGTGTGGTTGTAGTGGAAATAATGATGGGATTTGAATCTCCACTCAGACATGGAAACTCACTACGGGTGTGGACCTGTTAAAGCCATTCCTTGAATACTGCATTTACCTTGAAAGCCTTATTAGGATTGCTGTAAGTCAGTTCTGACTTGACAGCACATAACAACAATTCCATTAGGCACTGACTCTCCAGTGCCTCTGGCAGACATTTTTCTCATCACCTGATATATTATCCTTTTAACTAGAAATGTCTCAGACTGATCCTGGGACCTTCTGTATTTAAAAACATACAGTTCACATTGGAAACATGGCTATATCCATAACATCAGTAAAGTCTGATTTAAGACACTGTGATTACTTCCCTTGAATCATCAGTAAAGTATCTCCAAGGATGGAAATGAAAATAAGTAAGCCTTCCCTGTATGTACTCCTCTGATACTCAGAATAAGTATTTAATGCATTTGGAAGAATGCCATTCCCAAAAAGAGAAATTGAACAAATATTCAAACCAACTGTCTCTCAGCTATAGGCACCCTTCAACTTACAGCAATAAAATACAATTGGTTGCCTCCACAAGTCAGTAAATAATCTCTGTTTCATGCTTGGTTATCTACTGGAGATACTAAATGTGGTTCTTAAAAGGCAAAACACATTTAAGCTTGTGCAGCTGGCTACTGTGATAACACATCGCTCACTTCTCATCCTAGTGGAAGTAACAACACGTTCTGAAATCTAATAGTACAAGCTCTTATAGATGATTTTCTCTATCTGGAATAATACTACCAAGAGTTCTGATTGCAAGAGAGCCTGCGGCTTCCAATACCACAACTGTATGCTGAAACATATCCTGGTGGATACATTTCACGTGTCACACGTTTATAGAATGGACTGAAACAAAAAATATATAATCATGTCTAGGGTTAAGTGCAGTATGATACCTAGCACTGAAATGCTGCTTTTATATTTTGATATCTTACAAAAGGTGAAAAGGACAGTTTAACTATTCAGTGGCTTCTCCTTTTCATTACAGTAAAGCAAAGCAGCAGGAACATTTATGGCACTACAGTGGTGCCTCGCATAACGAGCACACCGTTTAACGACAAATCCACATAGCGATCTATTTTTTGTGATCGCTAATGCGATCGCATTGCGATGTTTAGATAGGGAAAACATCGCATTGCGATGATCAGTACGCGTTTCACTTACCGATCTTCGCATTGCGATGTTTTTAGAACAGCTGATCGGTGGTTCCAAAATGGCTGGCAGGTAACCAAAATGGCCACCGCAAGCATTTTCGCGCGCTGCCCTCGCTTACCGAGGTGGCGAAAATGGCAGCGGTATGGAGGATCTTTGCTCAACGGTGAGTTTTCGCCCCATAGGAACGCATTAAACGGAGTTTAATGCATTCCTATGGGGTTTTCCTATCCGTATAGCAATGTTTCCGGATAGCGACGATTAATCTGGAATGGATTAACATCACTATGCGGGGCACTACTGTATTTATCCTATAACTACTTCTTGCCACCCATAACCATGGAAAAGTTCTATCGTTAATTAAGAAAATCACTGTGGGCTAGAAAAGCTGGAGAGAGAGCTTCCTCAGATTTAGACTAATTCTTTTGCAAAATTCTTTGGCCAGTATCCTGCTGAGGTTCAAGTAAACAGAGAGTTCTGCAAGCACAGTAACATGGCATTGGCTTCCTGTCACTTTCCATGCTCAGTTTAAGGTGCTGGTGATGACCTATAAAGCTCTTCATAGAGCCTGATACTTGTCAGAACTTCCCTCTCAGACCACTAGGCACGTGTTTCATCCACTTCTCTCAGTCCATGTTGCTTAAAGTGGGCACAATGGGAGAGGCCAAAAAAGGTGACAACAAGGATTCGGGCCTTTTCAGTGGTGGGCTCTAGCCTCTGGAATAAGTTGCCAACTGAGATACAGCAGGCTCCTTCTCTCCTTATGTTCAGGAAACTGGTGGAAACAGAATTATTCAACAATTGATTCTCCTGGATGCTATTGATTGTAATGTTAATTTAAAAATTTTCTCCTCTTTTTGTATGAATTTTGGTCCTATACTTGTAAATTGCCATATTGCTGAATTTATTCTTTTATGTGGGGTTTTAAGTTTTAACCTGCATGGCTCCTAGAGTACTATGCACTAATAGGGTGGTACATAACTCAAATAAATACATAAATAGTGTCACATGTGTCCCTGTTACCACTGTGCAAGCCATGGTCTCCGTAAAGAAACCTCAATCCCAACATTAGCACAAGCAAAGTGAACTCACAATACTATGCTGCAAGGAGTTTCTGCACAGCAAAACCTCAACAGCATGTTGGCCTCTGTTTTTGTTCTTTTACTGAGACCCAGGACTTTTTTGAAGGCTTGAGGAAAGTAAAGAGACCAAATGCATTATTTGAGCAAAGAAGGCAACAAGACACACGAAGTCTCGTGGGATATAGTTTATAGTCCATCCAGATCTATTTGTATATAACCATTTTATTTTCTGTTATGAATTTATTTCATAAGTGGTGCATCCAGAGCTCTTTACACTTTGGCATGAGAGGCACTGTGATTTTAATTCTGTTTTCAAGTCAATTCCTTTGCATAAGAACCTGTTTCACTATTCACTGTTAGCCTGGGGACACAATGTCCATAGTAGCATTACAGCTTTTAATGCTGCCAGTGTATGTGTTCATCTTCCTCTGATTTTGTCTTTAGAACATTCTTCCATTAAATTGTTTTATTAGCTCCAAGAACTGGAAGAAATTCATGAGTGCTGCAGGCATATCTTCTCAGAAGAAATATAGGCATGCACCTCAAATAAAGGCTGAAATCCAGTAGTAAGTCACAACTAGAATAGGTCCATTGAATCAAAAGAACTTAAGGAAGAGTTGACCAACCAAATCCCCACTAATTTAGTCAGCCTACTCTAGTCATGATTTACCACTGGATTTCAGCCATTTTATAACTACAGTGGTGCCTCGCTAGACGATTGCCTCACGGGATGAAAAACCAGCAAGACAATTGGTTTTTGATATCACTATGGTGCCTCGCAAGACTTTTTTCCTATGACCGTGCTTTGCAAGACTTTTTTTTTTTGAGACCGATGCATAGGGAACCTCGCAAGACAATTTTTTCACAAGACAACGATTTTCGCAGAACAAATTAAAATCATCTTGCGAGGCACCACTGTACTATGCTGTACCTCATTCAACATCTTCAGTATCTCAGTAATCTATCTCCACATACACATTCTGATGCAGACACCGAATGTCTCTGCAAAGTATATAAATATTTCCTGCCCTGTGCAAAAATACATACCTGTTCATAACAACTTAACATGACCATACTTAACGAGTGAATAATCTGGAATTCTAGATCGAACACTAGCATTCCTTGTGGTTTTACTGGCTTCATTTTACTGGCCTCCCTTTTTCCAATAAGTACAAAGTATATCATAAGAACGACTGTGACTGAACTCCTCTTGCAAATTAGGTACCTTGTTGAAGACCCAGATTTCTCCATTCACTGTGGGCCTGGGAACACCGTGTCCATTGTAGTGGAAGAGGACCCTCTCTTCCTTGGCATTTCGACGTAATGAGGTACACAGCTTCTTAACTTCATCCACTGTAGGATCAAGGCTTTGCTTGTACCTGGCCTGTTTGCAGGGGAGAAAAGGGGAGGAAAAAATGAACTATCTAAACAGATTTTCACCTATATATGAGATTTAACAAAATTCAAAATATATGTACAAAATATATGATGTATATACTATAATGTATGTACTATATATGAGATTTAACAACATTCAAAATGTAAGCTCTTCTACAGCTTAGAACAGCTTTACCTAAAACAAATATTTAGGAACCTATGTTTAAACAAACTTTGTATTTCCCCCAAACTCTATTATATTAATATTCTGCATTCTAAACAACTAAATGAACTCAGATAAATGTCCAGCTGCTATAAAAGTGCCTCTCTCTTCATAATGCATAAAGCCTTCTACAAATTATACTGGTGCCAAAGGAACTATCTGCAGTCCTGAAATGATTAGAGAGTAAAGCCACAGATGCTACAACAATTTCAAGTTAGACAATAGATCATTAAACTTTCAAGAAGGCTGAGATTCCAGTTCAAAAATCTGGTCAAATAAAAGGTTGTTATATGTTAAACTCCTAATTTGTTTATAAACTCTCAAGCAAACAAAATCCAGGACAGAGAGATCTACTTAGCCCCATGTAAAGAACATGGGGCTACGACCACCTTCTTCAACATTCTTCTAAAACTTTTAAAAACTCTTTTCTCCCTTGAACTCTGCTAATTAGGACCCAAGAGCCACGTAGGCTACCATTCTGTCTACAGTAGAGGTCACCCATATATCTCCATGCCCTAAGCAGGACACAGGGGCAAGATACCTCCCTGTTCTTTTGTCTGCCAGTCCCAAATATTCAAAAGTACACTGCTGTTGAACACAGACATCTTAAACCTCACTGCTGCTGAAGACAGACATCTAAATCTAAATGTTCATCCCAAATAGAGTAGACTGACTGAATCAGTGGAACAGACGTAAGTGCTGCTCTATCACATTTCCACTGATGCAGTGCATCTATTCTAGTTGGGGCTATCAAATGGATTTAGGCCTGAGGTCTCATTTAGCTACTAAGCAGCAATTATTTCAATTTCTGGAAACAAAACCATGTAAGAGTAGACTGAAAATACCATTATCAGTAACCTGTCACATATAGGAGACATGTGTTCTTCCATAGTCAAATCCAACATTATTCTGACACCTTACATTTACTTTCTTGTTTCTCTATATAGACATAGTATTACTTATATGACTGCCATTCCTCCTTCAAATTTTGTCTTCTTAGAAAACAGTTTAATAGCAATATAATCACTTTCTTCCTAAGCAATGTGTACTAACAAAATCATCAGGTTTTTACGTTGGAATTTATCCGAATAAAACAAAAACAAAATCTAAGTTATATATGTGGAATTGACTACAATTACACTCTCCAGTGCAGGCAGCATTAAACTAGCAGGAACTATCATAAAAACACAGTACAAGATCCAACGTCATAGTTTCTTCTCTAGAGGAATAGCACAAGCAGAAGTGTAGCTTTTTGGCTGCTCCTGCTCCAGTTCATTTCTGCAAAAATACTATGTTTGTATTACACTGTATTTCATGTTTAACCCTCATGGACATTCCTCCAAGCAGTCAAAAAAAGTTGCCTTTATTGTCTCATCCTATAACTCTTGTATTGGTTCCATTAGTTTCAGCTAAGATTGAGAACAAGTACTTATCAATATTTGCATTACGTTTAATGCCTACTAGGGGAAGAGGGTCAGGAAATACCTGTATTTAAGTTTAAAGAATAAAGGATGCATCTAAATATAGTTGTGCATACCAGTTTTCCCACTATAACGCAGTTATTGGCAATGCATTCTTCTTGCAAACTAGCAAAATGGAATGGTAGTGTTATAACATAAATGGTCCCTGCAACTTATCCATTCCATCCAGTTTTGCGTTTTTACAGAATTACAACAAAAACGTAACATACAGTAGTTCTTAAGATTTTAAAGTAGTTCAATCAAACGGTGCCTTGCAGTGCAACACTTCACCTCATCCCTCTTGGTTTATGAGCAAACAACAAGCAGCTGAAAAAAAAAACCCACTAAGGTTTATCACTCAGTGATGCTGCTCACAATAACTTGCATTAACACAAGCATTGCCTTCTAGCTCACTCTTGTATCTTACAATGGCATTATGAAGGTGCTGATTTGCAAAATGGATGCTCTAAATCACATTCTGCCTGCTGGCACTTTTACAAGCCAGTATAACCAAGCAGTCGAGTGGTAGGCAATTTTTCAATTCCCGTATCTTCTGGGGGAGGGGATTAAGGACAATTTCCCAGACAAGATCGCCATCACCTCCTCCAGCATAAATATGAAATGGAGGTCACAATTAATGGAGAGTGGATACATTAAAAAGGAAAACATGCCTGCCTAACCAAACATCACAGAGAATCAGCACATCAGTTTCAGATTTACAAACACAGGGCGGCACTGAAGAAAAACAGAGAGCTTCTGAAAAAGCAGCTAAAGAGCAGTTACCCATCAACCAAGGATTTTTAGCTCTTACTTTATTAAACAGTATTTCTGATGCACAGACAAACCAAATCTCTATTTGTATTTTCCATGATGAGAGGAATAGCTAACAGTTTGTTCTGCTTCCGACAGCACTTGCTTTAGAGAGAAAGAAAAGAAAAGCAGGGTAGTGATGAAGGAAAATATGAAAATGCAAAACTATCTATGGTGGCATGGGCATATTAGAGGCAGGATTATGATCTGTGCCTCTGGAATTTGTAATAGAAGTATCATGATTTTAAGTTAGGATGGATAAATAGTCTAGGGAAAGACAAACGGCACAGATTGTGCTAAACTTAAAATTCATACGACATGGTCCACTCTTACCAGGTTCAGGTAATGGCAGATACAATCAGATCATAACACTTACATTGCCTTGAATACAACTCTAGCAATAGGTTAAGGATATGATTAATTCACCAACCTAACTGGGGCCGAGTATGTTGAATACATTATTTTTCTTTGATATGGCAAAAATTAGGGAGGACTAATGATGTTACTGGAAAAAGAATGAGGCATTACCTATAAGCTATATTATCATAGCCTGGGAATTTATGTGCCTGCAATATTTTGTTTATATTCTTTTCTTTAAGCCACAGATTCTCCCAGCACCACCACCATTAGTACTACTGAAAACATATAATGGATTATGTCACCATTGCTAGGGTTCCATTAAGTTCAAGAATTGAATAGGTACAAAGAGTGAATGCTGTTATAACTCATTATAATTCTATGCAATACTTGGTTCATAAGCATAGACACATGCTGCTGCTATTCAATTGAGAGAAAACAGAAAAAGAATCCAGATCCAAATCTGAAAGCTATGTACTATAAATAGACTCCTGATCCAGTCACTGAGGCATCATAAGAGTGTAAAATGTCTTGCCAATCTGGATACTGAAGGGACAGCATTAAAAGCAGAGAGAACTACCTGTGAGCTGAACAAATTAATGCTGTCTTGAGTCGCATGGTGCATTTTCAGAATCAGGTTGATTAATCAATTTTTAGATTCTATCTTCCTAGAATTTTCAAACTCTCTGGCTTTGAATTGAGGTAAAAAAAAGGGGCAGGAAAGGTTTTTTTGTTGTTGTTCGTAAGTCAACGCTCCGTTCGTAACTCAAAGCAATATTTAGCGTCTGGAGCTGTTCGTAATTCAAAACATTCATAGGTAAGGGCGCCACTGTAGGTTGATTGGTTTCCTGATATATGTGTCTTCCTGTAAAAGAGGGGTACAAAACTCCATGTTGTAGTATTGCAACTCCTAAGATTCCAGTCAGCACCACCAATTGTGAGAAATGATAGAACCTGCAGACTAGGCTATAGTCTGGCTATCAGAAGGACTATAATTCTCTCATTCCTGATGTTTCTTTTTAAAAGTCCCTCATATTCACCTTAAAACATATAGCCTCATTAATTTGGTTTGTGAATTTAATCAAATACCAATTAATTCAGAGATATTATTTGAAGCTTCTTTAGATGTTGCCTCCACACCCCTTCAAAGAAAAGGGGCAGCATGATTTAATTTTTTTATATGTCCCCCGTGAATTCAACAGAACACTGAAGGAAAACAGCATCATGAACAGCCCTGTTCCATTCTTTTGATTCATAGTTACTTTCCCCAGATGTTATCATGTCAAAATGAGTTCTTTGAAATAGCATCCACAGCTGTTGTGCTATTTTAACGATAGCACAAAAACTGCACAAACACTAAATCACTAAAACATTGAAAATTTCACATAAAACATTAAATAAATAAATAAATAAATCCCATTTTCATCTCATGAAACTGCTTCTCAGTTTCATTTTCTTTCAGATGAATGTTGTCCCATAAGCCATTTTTATTTCTTTGAGTCTTAATAACACAGTCAAGTCTATTTCCTGCAAGCACTGTCTACTCTTCTCTCATTCTCAGTTCTTCCATACCTCAACTCTTCAAAGCAGCTATGGTGAGTATGCTACGGTAGAGGGCCTAATTTAGTCCAGAGCATACAAGAAATGCAAAGCATTTAGCAATGCATACACAATTTTACTAGACAAAACTTCCCACAGTATTATTGTGTTCTTATCTCACCCCAAATCCTTGCTGAATCAGGAAATCCACAGCCGAAGCATCCTTGACAGGCCACCATTTAACCTCTGTTTAAAAACCTTCATGGAAAGAGAACTGATCACAGTCCAAGCCAATCCAAACGGTTCTTAATATTTATTCGAATCTCCTTTCTCAATATTTGAATCAGCTTCTCCTGGTTCTATACTCCAGAGCCACAGAAAACAAATTTATTACATCTTCCAAATAACAGCCCTTCAAATAGGTGAAAATGTCCACCATATGGCTTCTCAGTGCCTGAGCAGTGTTTTGCAAATCAGAACACTGAATCTGGACAATATGAAGATGTCCTTAGTTGGGGTAATTTTCAATCTGTTCTGGATAAAGTAGTGGTCTCCTGAAGGATCAGCCACAGAAACCTGGGAATATGCATGAATCCACCAATCCACCACTGCAGCTTC